CCTATGGTCATTCTACAGTATAACTGTCTCTCCTGCCAGACCTCTCCTTTGCATTCTGAGAAACAATCTCATTCCAGGCACCTCCTATTGTCCCGGCACAACCAAACCCTATCCTTGTTTTAAGTTGTGATCAAAGGAAGCTGATACCAGATTTGGTGGTCCTAGCTCTTACCTTTTGGCAGGAGTTATTGATCAGACACTCACAGATGGACAGACATGCGTTTCTAAAATAGTAAGATAATAGGTTACAATAGATTGATATGAAAATGATTTGGCAGTAATGCAAGGGCTTTATGTGCCACATCCTGTACATTGAGCTAAGGCAAAGCTAGCACACAAATACATGGGACCTTTCACATAGATACCAAAATCACTGTGCATATATTGTCGACCTTTCACTTCGATAAAGCAGGCTTCAGTGAGGTAGGGGCTTCCAAGAAGGCAATCAAACTTAGCAGGGGCACCTCAACTTTGAAAATCCCAAAATAACTGGTTAAGACCAGATCAAATAACCAGGTAGGGCAGAAATAACAAATGATACATAAGCACAAGAGGCTCATGGTAACGAATTGATGCATGTGATACTAAGTTGAGGTCAATGATATCTGACCTCTAGGAAAAAGACACTTCACTGTTAGTACGGAGAGGAAATACAGAGGAGGAGAAAAGGAAACATCCTCTTGCTGAATACAGGCAGTCCCCGGGTTACATGGATTCGACTTATATCGGATCCCTACTTACAAACGGGGTGAGTCAACCCCGCACTAGCTGCCTCCCCCCAGCAGACCAGGGAGACGCGGAGCGGCTTTTCTCAGCAGACACCTCAGGTTGAGAATAAAGGATTGAGGGAAGTGAGGTGTGGGAGAATAAAACTGAGCTCTGGAGAAATGTTTGGCTAGAGTTTCCCCTACAATATGTACCAGTTCTGACTTACATACAAATTCAACTTAAGAACAAACTTACAGTCCCTATCTTGTATGTAACCCGGGGACTGCCTGTATTCATCAAACCTAAGAGCATCAGCATGACCGATGATAGAAGTGGCATTTCTGCCTGGGGACGGCAGGAGAAGGACATGTCGTTTGTGGGAGGTGCCAGGATGATGGGGATGGGATGAAGAAGATGATGGATAATGGTTCAGATGGTTCTAGAAGGAATGGTGTGAGCACATGGAAATACAGCTGTACATTCCCTGTCTTGTTAAGGGGGATGTTTGTGACCATGCTATATATGTTCAAGGGTTATATTTGTAAATATACAAGAGTTCCTATTAGAGATGTAAAAGTTTAAGAATTTAATGGTGTAACTGCTAAAAATCCTACTGGTTACATGCACTGCGCATTGAGGTTTGTACTGCAGCGCCCACAGCGAAGGCTGCTCCTTGGGAGAGGGGTCTGCAGGGGCTGCTGTCGGCCCTGCTCCCGGGAACCATCATGAATGGGACGTATATCCAGTCTGACTTAATTAGTGTTATTAACACTGGTCCTACAATTAATGGGTAACTGCTTTTGCTGTTCTATATACTCTGGATTCTGTAATTTCTACTCCAACTCCTCTGATGAAGTGGGTTTTACCATGGATGCTCATCTTTGTTAGTCTCTAAGGTGCCACAGGATTGCTCGTTGCTTTTAAAGTTACAAACATGGCTACCTCTCTGGAGATTCATAAGTAATGTTGATAATTATGTGCAATGTAAAGATCAGGCAACAGCATGACCTCTCAGCACAAGTGTTAACTTTTCTCCAAAAAGACAATTGCTTCTTTAGTTCTCAAGCCATTTTCACTAAACTACCAAAACTTTCAGGTGTTCTTACCTTTTAGCTTACTAGCTGTGTTTTCTTGTAAATGCTATGGTATTTGTACTAGAAAAGCTAGCAGGAGTTTGGAGATACACCGCCTAGATAGGCTATTACATAGTGCTAGCGAGTAGAGCCCGCAACTAAATCAGTATCTGCAAAAATGAGTTGCAGCTATCATATCCACATTGACATCCACAGATGCGGATGCCTGTGGGTATAAAGCAGATATTGGAAAGAGCCTTGCAAATATGCAGAGAAGTCAGTGAGATAAACAATGTCAACCGAGAGAGAGACAGTTGTTACTTACTGGAGAAATAGCCTGGGTAGACTGTCTATGCCAGGCATGTCCAAAGTCCGGCCCGCGGGCCAATTGCGGTCCGTGTTCCGGTTTAATACGGCCCCACAGGTAATTTGGCAATATCTATCTTTTATGGCCCCCAACGAATCCATATGTATTGAGATGAATACATTGTAAAATCTCAGTTAATGTCAGTTGGTCTAAATCAGTTATAAATATATTTGGACACAACATGTATACTTGGTGTTATGTTCCTGTTCATATTTTTTGAACTTAAAAGTTGACAGACAACCTTTATTACCAATAATATGTAATGTACTTTACAATGTTCCTGACATATATTTCAGCTTCCTGGATTTTTTTTTCATCTGGCCTTCAGATATGAAAGGCAGAGTGATTTAACACCTGTTTAGATTTGTCATCCATGTGACGAAATGAAAAGTATGCCGTTTGCAATAAACTTTGCATAAAATAGTTAATTTGCATTTAATTTTAATGGTTCAAAGAATGTCAGGCAAAATGGTCGGCCCTCACGCATGTTCACTTCATCAAATCTGGCCCTCTTTGAAAAAAGATGCATTAGGAAACATACACAGATAAATGGTAACGGGGTAATTGATTGGTTTTTAAACTACATGGATTGGACAGGTTATTGACTCCTTGAAGAAGCTATTGGTCTATTTTTTTTTGTCAGGATGGTGCTTTCTTTCCATCCTCTGTTCGTGGAACAACTTTCCTAAAGTAGCTTCCTTGATTTTTTTTTTTCCACCTAGTCTTCATTCAAGATCCTCTTGAAAGTCTTTTTTATTAAGGCTTACTAGGAGCAAGTTTGTGGGGGCTTGTGTGCATATGTGCAAGCTGTTTATCCCTCTCTGGATTTCCCAGTGCTGCTTCTAGGCGTCTTGGGATTTTCGGTAGAATCTAAACACTTGCGTGCATCTACTTTGGATTTGTGTGGCCGATAGTACGGTAATATCAGCATTCGTGGTTGCCAAAGGGTCCTCTGCCAGTGCTGGAACAAGCTGAGCATTTTCAGGACCAGCTGTTGCATTTGTCACATGATCGATTTATCCTTGCTGTTTCTTTAACCTAGAAATACTCACCATGGTGTGAGGGGAAGCTGGAAGTTGGGCAGAGGTCTTGGTTTGACAGCTTTCAGTTAGGTCTGTAAAGTCTTTCCCTTCCAAAAAGGCTGTCCTTTTGACATGCTGATGGAATGGACAGGCGGGCAGACTGTCTGAGGATCTGTTGGCATTTAAGGAGCTCCCGTTCTGAGAGCCAGCTCAGGGTATTCATACTAGTGGCCTGTTGATCCCTATAAGCAGAAACCTGCTTTCTGGGGTCGGTTTCTGCTATTATTTTGATCTCATGGTGCCTGGTGCTCCTGTCCTGCATGTGTTTGCCCTGTGTTCTCTCTTCCTGCCCTGTCCCCTCCTTCCCTTTACACCCTGTTGTGCTGTCTGTTCGCCTCACTGCTCTGCTCCTGGCTGGCCTGGCCTAGAGCTGGGCCAGATTTTTTGACTGAAACTTTTTTGGTACAAAATGAAGATGCACAGCAAGATCTTGTGCAGTTTCATGCCAGTTTCACTGAATTGGCCTGGAGGGGGAAGGAATTCCAAAGAAACTAGAAATGTTTCATTTTGAATTTTTCAAAATGAAACACGTTCTTTTAGAATTGATTGTTCATTTTGAAATGTCCTCTAAATATGTAATTAAAAGGTTAAAAAAATCCTCACTGGAAATGAAATGTTTAGGCTTGGGGCAAACAGAACGTTTCGTTCAACCTGAAACGATGGTGTTTGGAATCATCAGGGAACTAAAAATCCACTATTCTTCCAACGCGGCTCCTGGCTCTCAGCCTATGGTCTCTGTAAGCTGAGCGCGTGGGCAGCCACTCAGGAAAGAGTCAAATGCTCCCAGCTGATTAGCAGAGTGCCACAGCCAGCAGCTTGTGTTTCTATTTGTGGTGCACACCCTCATGTCCCTGGATGCACATACCAAAATTTATTCTGCACATTGATGGGGAAAAAATGAGGGAACAGTGCCCCTGCTGGCAGCTCCAGTCTGGTGTGGCAAGTCAAGGTTTCCTAACTTGCTCTTATAGAGGAAACTAAACTGGTAAGCCCCTTTCTTCCCTCTTGTGTGGATAAGAGTCCAGTATCTCCTATTAAATGTCTTCAGATGGCCTTAA